ATCTGTACTCACTGACACATCTGTACTCACTGACACATCTGTACTCATTGACATTTAACACAGGGTGATCAGATTTAGATCTAGTTTTTCATTGATGCTGATTCTGTTTATGCTTTTGTTATTATTCCTATTTAACACAAGGTCATCAGATCTGATTTAGTATTTCATTGTTTCTGACTGAGTTTATGCTTTTTGTTATTATTTCCTTGACTTTTGACACAACATGATCTGATTTAGTATTTCATTGTTTCTAATTGTTTTTGGTTTTATATTTTTATTCCATGTGCTGTAAATATATCTTGCTACTTTTTATCTGATGATGTGATATTTTTGTTAAGCACTTTGGTAACAGTTTCTGTTTTAAATGTGCTCTATAAATAAATCTGACTTGACTTGACCTCTGCCAAGTTGTTATTTGGCTTATCAGTATATTACCACTTCCATCCATCCATCATCTTCATCTTGTTCTGAAGTTGTGTCGCAGGGGCAGCATCTTGAGCAGGGAGGTCCAGACATCTCTCTCCACAGCCTCTTCCAGCTCTTATGGAGGGACTCCAAGGCATACCCAGACCAACCGAGAGACATAGTCTCTCCAGCATGTCCTGTGTCTTACCCTGGGTCTCCTCCCAGTCGGACATGCCTGAAGCACCTCCCTGGGGAGGAGCCCAGGGAGCATCCTCACCAGATGAACCACCTGAACTGTCTCCTCTGGATGTGGAGGAGCAGTGGTTCTCCTCTGAGTCTCTCCTGATAACTGAACTTCTCCCCCTGTCTCTAAGGGAGAGTCCAGCTCTGCAGAGGAAACTCATTTCCACCTCCTGGATCCACGATCTCATTCTTTCAGTCTCTACCAGAGTTCATGACCAGAGGTGAGGGGAGGAACGTAGACTGACCAGTAAACAGAGAGCTTTGTCTTACAGCTCAGCTCCTCTTCAACAAAACAGACCGGCACAGAGTCCACAACACTGCAGACGCTGCACCAATCCATCTGTCAATCTCACGCTCCATTCTTCCTTCACTCATGAACAAAACTTGTACTTGGACTCCTCCACTTGAGGCAGAACCTCACCCTCGACCTGAAGAGAGCAATCCACCCTTTTCTGACTGAGGACCATGGACTCAGATTTAGAGGAGCTGATCCTCTCATCCCAGCTGCTTCACACTCAGCTGCAAACCGTTCCATTGAGAGCTGAAGATCATATCATGATGACATCAAGACCACATTATCTGCAAAGAGCAGAGATGGACTCCCTCCGCCCCCTGGCTGCACTGAGGAATTCTGTCCATTAAAGTTCTGAACAGAATCGGTGACATCGGGCACCACCAGGGCGGTGGAGTCCAACTCTCACCCTGAAGGGTCCGACTTACTACCAGCAATGAGAACTTAACTCTCGCACCGACTGTGTAGGGACTGAACAGCCCATAGCAAGTGAGAAATGCCTACCAAACCGTACTTTGGGAAACTTTTCCTGGGTGAGTGCCCAGACATTCCTGTGCCCGGACACAAATCAACACATTCCTACAAGGTCAGACTCCAAAACCTTTCCCGTATTTGGTAACACTGTATCTTGCAATCACTGACAGTGATTGACACACACATTTCATAAAACTCTTCAGTTCTACAATACCAACATAACTGACCAACTGACCAAAAATACAATGTCTTATTCTGACAATAGAAAGATCATTAAAACATATTTTCATGTAACATTTTGTAAACGTCAGCTTTCTGCTCATGAATAATCACACGTCTGCTGACTTCCTGTTCTTTCAGCGAGTGCCACAATTCATCAGACCGCATCAAGCTGCGGGTTTGGGACGAAGACGACGACATCAAATCTCGAGTGAAGCAGCGTCTGAAGAGAGAGTCGGACGACTTCCTGGGTCAGACCATCGTCGAGGTCCGAACACTGAGTGGAGAGATGGACGTTTGGTACACCCTGGGTACGAGGACATTCACAGTTGATGTAGAAAACAGGATGTATTTGTGTGCGTGATGGTCACGGAGCAGGTTAAAACTGATTCAGTCATCTTTACACTGATATCAGATTATGATGAGAAATGAAGAAGTTAGAACCATCCATTATATTTAGCTTCTTATCCCTGTCTGGGTCACTGGTGTCCATGTCCAGGGGCTGTTGGACATGGACACCAGCAACCCAGACAGGGATAAGAAGCTAACAATAGTCCAACAGTCTGGTCCAGCAGTCCCTGGACATGGACGTTTGGGTAAACCGGAGTGCGGAGAGAACACCCAGTAACGTCCCGAGACTTGATCCGGACACCTTCTCATCATTTTGGTTAAATCTCAATAAGAACATCATGTATGATCTTGTGCGATTTCATGAGTTGTCAGGCTCGTTATGTGTTATGAATGACACTCAGCTACTACCACGCAAAGCTTTGGTTATAAAATTGATAACCATCTGAGAGTTGGCTGATTTGGGGTAGCTGTGGCAGCCATCTTGAATTGGTTTGACTTTGTTCCTGTGTTTTAGCACTTACAATATGTGTTGTGGATGACTCTCAGCTACTGCCACTCCATTTGTTAGCCTGATATTGGAACAACTGACTGACTGAAGGCTAGTTTTGTTTGTGGGAACATTGCGTTGCAGCAGCAGCCATCTTTAATCGTGTTGACTCAGTGGTAGATGTTCATTAATTTCTATAGTTAGTTTTATTCATTCTGTGGCTCATGAGGTGTGTGTGTATGTGTGTGTGTGTGTGTGTGTGTGTGTGTGTGTGTGTGTGTGCGTGCATGCGTTTGTGTGTGTGTGTTACAGAGAAGAGAACTGACAAGTCGGCCGTGTCGGGTGCCGTTCGTCTTCAGATCAGTGTGGAGATTGAAGGAGAAGAGAACGTTGCTCCTTACCACGTTCAGTACACGTGTCTCCATGAGGTGAAAACACAAACATCAACCATGACTGAGTTTTTCTGCGATAAAAGTGTCTGATTAGTTTGCAGTTGGCATTCGTGGGGGGTCACAGGCACAGCAGAGAGGTCCACACATCTCTGTCCACAGCCACCTCTTCCAGTTCTTCTGGGAGGACTCCAAGGTGTCCCCAGGTCAACAGAGACATATAGAGCTTTGGAACCTACGTCACTGCGTAGTGACGTTTGGGGGCGTTAACGTCTCGTGGGCCATCTTTCCTGTCCACAGACCAAAACAACCTGTACTCTGGTGTTTTTCGTGGTGTCACCGCTGTATCCTCCTTCATAACGCTGAAGAGCAGCTGTAAACAAAGTGGACTATATCGTGACAAACTTCTCCCACATGATTAAAAACAGTTCTTGGAAAAAATAGGTAAAACTGGAAATATCGCCCCTTTGAAAAAATAAAAAAGGAGCAGAGACCTGGAATAATATTTACCTCCACTGACATTCCCAGCAGAGCTGGTGTGTGTTACCGCAAATAATTTAAAGAATTACAAGTTACTGGGAGCACTGGTCCAATCTATGAAGGGCTGGGTGGATGATTTGGACATTTTTAAAGCCCCGGATTGAGAATATGTTGTGGTTTGAAGAAAGGTACGTTGTTCTTGGCTCCTTCATTTTACATAAATTATTAATGTAAATTATTTTAGAATAAATCTTCTGTATGTTAGGAGTATTACAAAGTGTGAACACGTGATTTTTAAAGTATGTTTTTAACTGATTTACGAAGCTCCAAGTTGAAACAGTTAATTACACCTAATTTTTAATGACTTGAGCTCATCTAACAACAACATGTAGACTTCAAATCTTGATTAGATTACTTTATATGTATAAGTATATATATATATATATATATATATATATATATATATATATATATATATATATATATATATATAATAAAAATATTTTTGGGTTTTGTCTTTCATATTTATTCAAATACGTTGACTTTGAACTATTAACTTTTTAGCCAGAATCTAAAAAAGTTAAATCTGGTCCTCTGGACATTAAAAAAAAAATAAAAAAAAATGTAGAAACGTTTTGTCTCTCATCCTGAGGACTTCCTCAGTCTGAGGTGCTGTTTTCAGCTCAGTCTCTTAAATAGCACCTTCTCAGAGTGGATCAACCAGTTTGCTGCTGACAACCAGAACCAGCTGATCACATGCTCAAGAAGGACCATCAGCCTAACAATGGATCATTAGCACCTGATGGCTGTTTACTATTCACAGAGGGCTGAGTGATACTAGCAATCACAGCATTGTAAGAGGGGGACAGTTGAACCCGGAGGCTCCACCCCTGTTTAATGATGGACGGTTTCTTTTCACAAAGATGGCCTCCTTTACTCCTCTCTCAAACCATCGTTCCTCTCTGTCCAGGATGTGAACATCTTCATCCCTGAAAGAGTGACCTCTGACCTGGAGATGAGTGTAGACCTCAGAGTCCTGGCCTGATGATGTTGATCTTCTGTGCTGGTCCATCCTTTTGGCCAGTGGCTGTTTAGTTTCCCCGATGTAAGACTGATCACCCTCCTGACACTGAACAACATACACAACATTACTCTGTTTGTGCCGGGGGACTGGATCTTTGGGATGAACCAGTCTTTAATGTATTTTGGGGTTTAAAAGCCACTGGGACGTTATGTTTAGAAAATAAACAGTTTCTCTGATACTCCCTCAACATCTGGAATGACCACTGGTCTGGGTCTGGGTTCCTCCTTTTCACCTGATGCTGACTGGAGTCCTGTTTGGGTTTCTTCTTTCAAGAAGGCCCAGTTAGGATATCCACATTGCTCTAGAGCCTGTCTTGTGTGGGATTTCTCCTTCTGCCTGGCTCCTGAGCTAGTGGGGACGCTGTCTGCTCTGTGGTACAGAGTCCTGATGACTCCTAACTTGTACTCCAAAGGGTGATGGGAGTCAAACTGCAAATACTGGTCTGTGTGGGTGGGTTTGTGGTACACCTCGGTTTGCAAATGTCCTCTATCAGAGACTGAGACCTCACAGTCCAAGAAAGCCAACTTGCCATTTTTTTCATCTTCTCGTGTGAACTTGATGTATTTATCCACAGAGTTGATGTGGTCAGTAAAATGTTGGACTTCCTGAGATTTAATTTTAACCCAGGTGTCGTCAACATACCTGAACCAATGACTTGGTGGTGTCCCTGAAAAGGACGTCAAGGCTCTCTTTTCTACCTCCTCCATGTACAGGTTGGCAACAATAGGAGAATTTGTAGCCAGAAAATTCTCCAAAAGATTTGATTAGGTCAGCAGGTGTTGGAATGGATGCATTCAAGTTGGACAGTTATATAACAACATTATCCGCAAAAAGTGAAATGGCATGCTCCAGTTCTCCTATTTTAACACCAGAGATTTTTGGATGCTGTTGGATGGCCAAGGCCAGGGGTTCAATAGCAAACCAAAATAAAAGAGGGGACAAAGGGCAACCTTGTTGCGTGCCTCTGTAAAGAATAAATGTTTGTGATATGTTATTGTTCATTATTATTTCCGCTGTTGGTTCCGTATTTAAATTTTCACCCATTTAAGGTATTTTTCTCCCATCCCAAACTGTCAAAAGCTTTTTCGGCGTCCAGTGACAGGATTGCGTTATCTTTCGCATCTCGCCTTTCATGTAATATATTCAATACTCTACATATATTATGAAATGCCAGACACGCAGGAATAAAACCATTCTGATCATTAAAAATCAGGGATGGAACACACAACTCTAGTCTCCTGGCCAAAACCTTGCATAGTAGATCCCCTGTCTGTTCGTGGTTTGCCAGGCTTTGGAACCAAGGTAATTAGTGCAGACCGTAAGGTTGGTGTCAGGATTCCTGAGTCATATGCTTCTTCAAACACTTCTAGTAATGGAGGGAGTCATTTTTCTGGAAACAATTTATAAATCTCAATGGGGATCCCACCCGGCCCTGGGGTTTTCCCACTCCTCATGTTCCACACAACTTCTAACATTTCCTTCACTGTTACATGTTTATCTAATTCAATCTTATCTTGATCTTTAATAGTTGGGATATCTAATTGGTCTAAGAATTCAGTCTGTAACTGCGTGGTTTCTGGATATTCTGATTGATAAAGTGATTCATAAAATGTTTTAAAGGTGGAGTTAATTGCAACTGGGTCTATTTCCATGTCTTCATTTTCTAATTTAATTGAGTTTATGGCTCTATCTGTTTGCATTTTTTTAAGTCTCCAAACAAGAATTTTGCCTACTTTATCACCTTGGTCATAATAAGATAGTTTCAACCAAAGAAGATTTGCTGCAATTTTGTTAGTGGAAAGCTCTCTGTACCTAGTTCTCAACAGCAAAAGCTCTTTATGTTTCTCTGGACTATCATTTTGATCTGCATCCAACTCCAAAACTTTAATCTGAGTCTCAACACAGATTAATTCAATTCAATTCAGTTTATTTATATAGCACCAAATCACAACAAAGTTGTCTCAGGGACTTTACAGGAACATTCACATAAAAGCCAGTTAGTAAAGTTCTCTATCTAAGAATCCAGCAGACAAGTTGAATCTTGGCTTCGTTGCAGTCTCCCATCCTGAGCAAGCACAGTGGAGACAGTGGAAAGAAAAACTCCCTTTAACAGGAAGAAACCTCCAGCAGAACCAGGATCAGGACAAGAGACCATCTGCTCTGACCGGCTGGTTGAGAGGACAGGAAGGAGAGACAGACGAGCACAGAATGGTAGGTCCAGGTATAGGTCCAGGTCCAGATATAGGTCCAGATATAGGTCCAGGTCCAGATATAGGTCCAGGTGTATCTGAAAGAGAAAAAAACACATGTTAATGATAGAAAAAATAATTACAAATACAAACAGGTTGAGCAGAGTAAGTAAAGACAGCAGCAGAGAGAAAACTGTGGTCAGTTTGTCCTCCAGCAGTCTAAGCCTATAGCAGCAGAACTAAGGGACAGCTCAGGAAACCTAAGCTGACCCTAACTATAGGATTTATCAAAAAGGAAAGTCTTAATCCCAGTCTTAAACTGGACAATGTGTCAGCCTCATGGACAGAAACTGGAAGTTGGTTCAACAAGAGAGGAGCCTGAGAACTGAAAGATCTTCCTCCCATTCTGTTTTTGTAAACTCTAGGAACCACAAGTAAACCTGCAGCCTGAGAGTGAAGTGCTCTGTTAGGAAAATATGGAACAATAAGATCTGTAATATAAGATAGAGCTAGGTTGTTGAGAGCTTTGTAGGTTAGAAGTAAGATTTTGAATTCTATTCTGGATTTGACAGGGAGCCAATGGAGAGAAGCTAAAACTGGAGAGATATGATCTCTCCCAGTAACTCCAGTTAAGGCTCTGGCAGCAGCATTTTGGATCAACCGAAGACGTTTTAAAGAAGTATTTGGACACCCAGATAATAAACCATTGCAATAGTCCAGTCTAGACGTGACAAATGCATGGACCAGTTTTTCTGCATCATCTTTAGATCAGATGTTTCTAATGTTAGTGATATTACGCAGGTGGAAGAAGGAGGTTCTAGTAACGTTTTTAATGTGGGGGATAAAAGACACGTCCTGATCAAAAATAACACCAAAATTTTTAACATTAGAGCTGGAGGACAGATTAATGCATCTAAGGAGGGAGAAAGACTGAAACATTCATTCCTAAGGTGCTCAGGTCCAAAAACTAAAACCTCAGTCTTGTCTGTTCAACAGGAGAAAATTAAGGGTCATCCAGGTTTTTATGTCTTTAAGACATGCTTGTAATC